TACATAAGAAACCTGCACCAATTAGTACTAGATCCAAACGACCATTCGAACTAATCCACTCAGATTTATCTGGAAAGTTCAGTATACAGTCACAAGGAAAAGCTCAGTACTATATGTCCTTCATCGATGATTACACCCGCTTCGCATGGATATATCTCCTGAAACAAAAAGAAGACGCAAAGAAGGCCATCAAGGACTATGTTACAAGGATCGAGAAACAGTATAGCACAACAATACTGAGATTCAGAACGGATGGTGGTGGTGAATACATCAACAAGGACATAACGAACTACTTCGATTCACAAGGAATAGTTCATGAACAGACCCCCCCATACACTCCTGAATCTAATGGAGTTGCAGAACGATTCAACAGGACGGTAACCACAATGGTCAGGTGCATGATCATGGACCATCCTAAGTCGTTATGGGGAGAAGCATACGCAACAGCTGTCTACCTCAAAAACAGGCTACCACACAGTACGCTTAAGGGAAAGACCCCCTTTGAAGCCCTGAAAGGAACCAAGCCAAGTATACAACACCTTCAACCATTCGGTAAAAAATGCTATGTCCACATCCCAGAAAACTCTAGGCCAGCAGGAAGCAAACTAGCACCCCGAGCGTATGAAGGAATCATAGTTGGATACTCAGACAGTAGTAAAATATACCGTATCTGGATAGGAACACAACATAGGGTAATTGAAAGTCGGGACGTCACATTCCCCCCTCCTGAATCAGGGGAAGTCTCAGTGGAACTCGACTTCATCCCCAACCTGAAACCAGAAACGGCAAATGCACCATCAGACGACGGATACGAATCAGAAGACAGGTCTGATCCAGAACCCGAGTCAAATGCAATCGAAGAGAACCGTACAGAAATGCCAGGATTGTTCCCGGAATCACCGGAACAGGTTAGACAACCACCACCGGCTACACCACACAAGGGAAAAGAACCTGCCATACCTATGGGACAACCGCGAGACCCAAGAGATAACTGGGAGACAATTCCAGCACCAATCGTACCATTTAAAGGCTTCAAAGGAAAACCACTTGCGTCAACAACACCCAAAGGTACACCACCACAACCTCCAAAACAATCAGATCCACCACCAGCTCCAAGACGATCGAATCGCGTTCGTAAGAAAATGGATTATGAACTTGATAAGGAAATAAGAAGGAAGGAATACAACAACAAGGTAATACAACTACAGGAGCAACAAAAAGGGTACATTGAATCAATACGAGAGGACGGTCCAATAGATGAAGACGAATGTCAAGCAATGATTAAAGAATTCAAAGCCGACATTATAAAAGCGAGAAAGGATTTGGACCTAGAATACCAAGATGTATCCAATGAACCTGCGATCTACCGTGTACACCTTGTAACCGAACCGTCAACCTATCATCAAGCCATGAACAGCGACGATCAACATCTATGGAAAAAGGCGATACAGACTGAGAAAGACGCCCTTGACAAAGCCCATACCTGGGACATTGTCAACCGACCAACCAACCGAGCAGTGGTCAAAGGAAAGTGGGTATTCAAAGTGAAACACAACGCGGACGGAACAATCGAACGGTACAAAGCAAGGTACGTTGCTAAAGGCTTCACCCAAGTACAGTACCAAGACTACGATGAGACCTTCGCCCCCGTTGCACGATATGATTCTCTACGACTCCTACTGGCACTAGCTGCACACAACGGTTGGATACCACAACAAATGGACGTCAAGTCAGCCTTCCTGTATGGTGTACTGAAGGAGGAAATCTATATGGAACTGCCTGAAGGCTACAGGCAGGACAACAAGGTTTGTAAACTTCGAAAATGCATATACGGACTAAAGCAATCACCCCGTGAATGGTATGCTTGCCTAGCAGACTCCCTTCAACGGAAAGGATTCGTCCCAGCCAAATTCGACCCATGTGTCTTCATACATAAGAACCACCATCTATACATATCGGTGTATGTAGATGACATCATGATATTCGGACCCGACTCCCCATTCAGAAAAGAAATCAGACAACTCCTCAAGGCAGATTTCGAATGTACGGATCTCGGTAACTCGAAGTTCATACTGGGAATAGAAATAACGGTAACCAACAACGGTATCACGCTATCACAACGCGCATACATCAACAAGATCCTGGATAAATTTGGAATGAGTAACTGCAAACCAGTTGGCACACCACTCGAACCGAACCTCAACCTTCACAAAGGCGAACCGGAAGACCAAATCGAGAAGCCAACTGAGTACCAATCCATAATAGGATCACTGATGTACGCGAGTATAGCTACCCGACCTGATATCACCCATGCCGTTACCGCTCTATCTCAGTACTCCTCATGCCCAACCGAGGATCACCTACGAGCAGCCAAGCGAACTCTCCGATACCTCAACGGAACCAAAGACTGGAACCTGTTCTACCCGAAGGGGAATACCAGAACACTCGACGGATTCTCAGACAGTTCCTACGCTTCAGATCTAGATGACAGAAAATCGTTCTCAGGATACGTGTTCAGACTAGGGAAGTCAGCCATCAGCTGGAGAAGCCGGAAGCAGAAATCAGTCGCAGTCTCAACCACAGAAGCCGAATACATGGCCCTGTCCCTCGCAGCTCGACAACTGGTATGGATTCGTAATGCCTTGCACGAACTCCAACAACAATACCAGTACTTCATACACGCCGACAACACAGGTTCTATCGAACTCTGTCGGAACCCACGCATCCACGACCGGTCCAAGCACATCGACGTTCACTACCACTACACACGTGAACAACTCGAAGCCGGAACCTTCGAAATCCTCTATGTCCCTACCGAAGACAATGTCGCGGACATAATGACCAAAGGACTACCAAAACCAGCTCACCAAAAATTGTCAGAATTGATACGATGTGGCAAGTGAGGGGAAGTGTAAAAATATGGCATTGCGACATCGGTTATGTATGGTAATTACTCATGTATAAGGGATGACTCATAGTTGGAATAAGGAGGCTTAGCGCTAGGATTATGTAATCAGGGGATCACGTGGTACTAAGAACTATCTGTATATAAGGAGCAACAAACTCCCAATAACTGTCGCTGGAACTCAGCGGCGCAATAGTATCTTCTTTGCACTATAAACATATTCCTCACAAAGGTCACGTGTTCAAACCCTCCTCAAGTCGTCTATTCTCCCACACTCCAATCCACAGGAAAGAAACAGTCAAGTAACAGCCAAGCTGCAAGATCTCCAGTTCTTGTAATTTCTATTGGCCCAAAGCCCCTGCCCGTTAATTGGCAGTGTTCGTCGAGCGACGGTGAACGAATGTACTTGGTACGCCAAATACAAGTGACACTTACTAATAAGAGAAGAGGCAGACTACCTGATGGGTAGGCGACGGCTTGTTGGATAGATGACGCCGGAATTAAGGCAAAACTAATGGCCCCCCATCGCCGATAGAGAACGAATGCAGGAAGGAAAGAATAGCCCAGATCACGATACAAATATATGGTGAGTAGTACTTCTACCATGAGAGAACCACCTTTCAATTTTTACACACCACTATCCTCTCTGTCGTAGTGGAGTTCCTACATCAACGGTGGAAAACCAAAATATCCCAACATTCACGTACGCTATGCTTACCGCCAATTACTTCAAAGATGAAGAGATTACTACTGAGTGTCTCTGTGCACTCAAATATTTGTGGCAGACCCTTTCTGAACTCTTGGGTAAAAAAAAACCGAAGAAGATTTGGCCTAAAAGAACCATAATATGGTTGCTACGACCCAGGGGATAGTAGGTCCTTCTGGCTTACTACAGTAGTTTTGAAGATCCACCTCAGATCCGCGAAAGTTTATTCTCACCGCAAGTATTGCGTCCCTAATAAGATGTTGTCCTTTCTATTTTATTTCGGAATCTTCAAGGGCGTCGATATACTGCACTGATAATCTAACGTTCCTTGAAACCGGCACATCTAGAGTGAGAACCCATTATACTTGAATATCCACTAGGCTCTGTGAGATATAAAATCACTAGAATGAATATATATGGTTCAACATATTATGGTCATACGACTAAAGATTTAGTATAACCTGCACCACGACCACCATTCCAAGCTTTAGGATAGGGAGACGAATAATCTGAGAGTCTTTCAGCTGATCACTAGGTTTATTACCAAATTAAAAGCGTTATAATATCCCTCTTATTGGTGGGTTATACAGAGTGGGGTAGCACTTCAGGCTAGGATAAACTCTGGCCTTATAACTCGCTGAGGACATACCTATCCGGCCTAAAATATAGTACTATCAAGAAGTTAATCGATATAGTCTTATCTGAACACGATCAGATGTCCAGATTCACATGCTTGGCCTTGGAAAAGCTTTTTGGTGCTGTTCCAAGAGTAGACACTTCGGCGACCCCCGAGACCATCCGTGATCTCGACTGGCACATCTTGCAACCCATGTTCATCTTTATTTGATAAAACCACATATATCCCGCAAGAATGGAAAGTCGCTTCTAAAGCTGAGGCTTGGTGCTCAAGATCGTCAACCTAACTCAGTTATATGCATATATGCCACCTCCAGAAACTCTAACGTACCCTACACTACCAATGCCAGAGCCAGGACGCAATGTGAATTAATCTCCGCTATCCTATCAATACCGAAAAGTACGGGTATACGGCTGCATAGAGAAGCCAATATGTGCCAAAGCTTGTTCACTCGACCCAATCCAGAAAAATGGTTATTCTCGCCTGCCCAGTCCAGCCAATCTCTCCCTACATGCCTAATCTCTAACATGGAAACAAACTGGTGGGGTGCTGACCTACTTACTCAAGCAAGCACCCCACCTTCCGTGATCTCCAGGGCCGACTATCGGTCGCTCTTGGCAACGGGCGAAATAGTAGGAAGCCACTTTCCCAATCGATCCAGAAACAAGTTTGTTACTATTACTTTCGGAATCCCCGACAATCCGCGACTCTTGCTGCTAATAGAGTACTGCAAACAGTGTCTCCAGCGATCATTACATCACCCAGCATAAACAAATCTTGAAACACTTCTGTACTCTCGGTACTATTCCATTGGAGCCAACCCGAGCACCAGTACGGTCATGCTGATTCACCATATCGGGTCGACGTCGGCGACAATATTTAATCCTGGCTGTTTCCAACTTAGTAGGAGGAGTAGTTATAGCTAAGACGGGGAACGCGGGGGATTAGCCGTTTCTTGTAGTAGTAGGTGGTGTCCTCTTTGAGCGACAACGCCCATTGCTTTTGAGAAGTCCTACCTACATCGACGTCCGCATCTCCCACATGATGTGGGTTCCCGCCGCGCTCCGCACATGCAGTAAAGACCATCAGCTGTTAAGATCTTACTCACCTCTGTTCTTTCATTTATCGGTGGTTATCACCTAGAGTACTGGTAGGAACTTACCTCGGCCCCTCAAATGGCCACTTACAATGGCCTCTCCCCTGATCGACCATGTATGGGTACCGCTCGCGTATCTTGCTATCCAGTCGGCTTCCAAGTCTCGGATCTTCTCAATATGTGAGGCGTTTTCAGATCGGGACGTCCTCGGGGTTCCGGCGGCGGACGTCCCCATCATAACACACACAACAGCAGGGAAAGGTCTTCCATAGGGCGGTGTCCAGCAAATAACGGTCTTGCTGCCACGTTTACTAGGGTTGATGCCCAACTTGGGCGCTGGTTAATATGCAACTGCGGGGATGCGGGGGGGTACCGAGTGCCGAGTCTCAATGCGGCTATAACAGCTGTTGCATATAGGGTGCGATTGCTTGTTTTATGAATATATGTTTAGTTGGACCTGGGGCTGCTGCTCAACTTAAAACAACCGTGCAGGTGCGTAAATACGTGCATACAACATATGCAAGTCAAAAAATCAAGATTACAGTTATCACCACTGCTTGGCAAATTGAGATCACTTCACGACCTTTATGTAGCTACATTTAGGTCGTTCCCTTGATATTGCCATGTCACCGCCACGATGATGAGTTCAGAGGTTGATGCATGTAAAGAAAAAGAAGAAACGGATAATATTTGTCATGAAAGGAAAGGTTCTGAAAGGAAAGTTTTGAAAAGCATTTACAAATCAACTAGTCCCGCCAACACCGTGCTCAGCACTTTCCGGACCCCCCCCCTTCTCTTCCCCATATCAACGCCTACTAACCCTGAACGCTTGGGCTAGTCGAGCGTTAGTTGCATCTCTTCCGCACAAGCATAATATATCGCAAGACAATCGTCAGAGCCACTGGGAGCACAACCAGCAGTTCTCCAGCTAGAAAGTAGTAAAAGAAAAAAATTAACCCAAGCTCCGTAACCAGATGGAAAAAAACTTTTAGGAAGTACTTACATGCAGGTCCTACAGTTACTCGCAACTTCTGCCTGCCTGGCAGCAGGAACCCTATAAAAGGCCATCCCCTGGTTGGCATCGTAAGCGATGGTCATGCATTGATCATACTTCTCTGCCTGTTAGCTCTGCCAGACTCAGTTCTCAAAGAATAAAGGTGCACATACAGTAGCGAGATCAGAGCCACGCTTGTAGGCCGGTACAGCAGCACTGGTAGCAGCCAAAGTCATGGTGACGAGGAAGTTCTGGATCTGCATTTTTGTTCGATGATGGAGATGATGAAAAAAAAAAAAACGATGATATTTACTGAAGAATTATGCGTGGAATTGAGGATGATGATGATGCTGAATGAGTGTAGCAGGGAAAAAGAGGAAAGGAAGGAGGCAGGAGAAGAAGACGGAGTATTTAAGGATTCAAATTTAAACCTTGTGGATTTATACTTTAGCAGGAAATCAGGGGCGACGTCAACGCTACTTAAGCTGGTCGTCGAATTTCTCGAGCCCTGCCTGTGCTTTCTATGAATTGGTGTCCCTGAGATAAACAACCCATGTTTCAACGGGGATACGTAATTGTAGAAATCGCCACGGCGTCTACCGATGCATGTCCAATTATTCTTCTATTCACCATGCTTCTTAGAAGGTTATCCCGATCCCGGATCCCGGACAAATCTGGCAGCTGGGCATAACGGGTTAGTGTAAAGGTAAAGACTGATAACTTGGATAAGAAGGCTTTGTAATTGAGGTTTAGGAAGGAAATAACTGTCTAGGTATGCAGTTATGTACATGTAGGCACTGCTGACCTCATATTGAATTTATTACAATATTCCGGCCGATAGCGGCGCTGTGGGTGGGGAGATCACATGACTTCGCTCAAAGTGACAACCTCAATATTAATGTCAGGACGTTCACTTACGCGTCCGCTACGCCGGGTGGATATGGCAGCATGTATCTGTCCAGTTGATTGATGGAGAACTGTGGTGGGCTATGCCATCCGGATATGCAAGGATGTTTGGGACGTGGGGGCCATTGGATTGTTAGAAACAACATGTTAGCATCGACATGTATCCACCCTACTTTAATTTTTGCCGGGACAAATAAGCAATGGATCAGCGGGAGCCCCAGCCGACTGAAATATTCGACATCTTATATGACAAACTCTTACTAACATGCGTATTAGCAGTCTATTCTTCCTTATGCGGGGTAGGTAGTGCTTACACTTGATGTTTTGTGCAACCAAACAACGGTTATGAATCCGAGAGATTGATTGTGGGGACCATCGCAACCACAAGGCGTTGGCTTAACACATAAGGGATTGTCAATAGTTAGCTATAGGGCTATAACTAGTTTCCTTGCTCAGAGGTGCCTTTCTAGAGTTGACATCCTCACTCGGATACAAGCTATTCAGCGATTTTTATGTAGGTGCCTAGGCCTAGATCCATGACTACACAAAGCCACTACACATGTGCCAGATGAAAAGCCTCAAGTCCGGAGTTCGTTAGCGGGAATAATCGATGGCATAGATATAGTGAGGCTCTTTTTGATAATCAATCCGCTACCCTTGAACATACCTTCCCTTTTACCTCAATATCCGATGGCCTATATTAATCTAAAAGCATATCAAAGCAGCACCTGCACTTTATTTTTCGGAAACATTCATGACATCACCGCACGGTCTGCTCTTTCTTCACATTTCTTCACGCTCAAAAGCTGAGGGAGTCTGTTCGTGCCCTTCCCCGGGCCCCGCATTCACTTCCTTTCAGCATGTGTCTCGCGGAGTATCACATCAGGATTCAATATATGCTTCAAAATAAGGGAGCCTTCGGACCGAAGTACCGAGGAACAAAAGGCCGAAAGATGATCTTACGATCTTCACTAATCATGTGCTAACAATGTTAGTTCCGGTAACTATACGACAGGAGTTTATGAGGATTTGGAAATACCGCGCGCGCGCTCAAGCGGCGCTACAATTCTTAAAGCTTGACTATAGTATTCAGTGATTGTTTATTGAACTGTTGGTGCCAGGATATTATCCAAGGGTATTTTCGCATATACCCAGGGGTATATAAACTTGACGATAGATGTGAGGACCCGAGGCCTATGAAGTGAGTATGGGGTGGCATGATCATGAGGGAAGGTTGGAGGTCCGCACTAGTACTCCGTCTTGGCACTATCAACGAGTGATTTATGATGAATTCGGAATTATCCAATCAATAAATCTGGATTAGCATCGTCTGGAGTATTATACCCGTGTCAGTACAGATATATCTCTGAAAGCTCTATGGTACGTGGACTTGGATGCACAAAAAAATGGTTCTCGACGCGGCGCCAATATAGAAAATTCAAAATGCATGTACCTTGAGAGCATACAAGTAGCCTCTGTTAGCTACGGAAGTTGAAGTCCCGGCTCCGTTGCCTAAGTTATCAAATATCGCTGATCGCAGTACTTGTTCACCCGTATACCTACATGTCGTTTAATATTCGACATTGTCACGTAGAGTAGATACCCTGAATCCTGGACACAAAAAATTAGTAATCTGCACACAAACATCAGAAATTATATTAGGACCAACTCAAGCTTCATTATATGCTTCTGATAGCCCGGACGGGCCTGTGGATCCTACAAGGTAGATATCGGGTAGCCGGGAAACGTATGATCCAGGTGTTGCAATTGGTTAACCGACAACCCCAACCCTCAAGTTAATTAAACATTCCGAGAGCAGGGAAAAGCATGTTGTTCCGAGCATAACTCAAAAATTCATATGCTATATAGTGTAGTTGAGTTTGATATAGTACTTAGGGCTGAGCGCATAGGTAGAAATTGATCATCGGTGCCGCCGGCAGAAGTACCAGGGAGTTCCCTGGACTAAAAGCAGGGGAATACCATTGCATTGTGCCATGAAATGCTTGGCAACGATATTTTGGAGGTCATAGGATGCGAATTTTTGAAACGACTAGCTTAGTTTTCTGTCTAGGCTCTTGTGATCGAATCTCGAGTCTAGGAGGACTGTTAGTTGTTTCAGAAAGAACACAGAGGGATTCAAATACGTGGTGCATGGGCAACTTAAATTGAATATTAGATCAAGAAGAAATCTCTTCTGAGTCCCATATCAAACCACCTTTCATGAGACCAAAATTTCTTTCACTACATGTAGTTTACCACCGGACAAATGACGAGCAGCCTTTCATCCTTTCACTTGAGCCCAGATGTATCAAAGAACTCGTTATTATCAGAACCCCGAATAGAATCAAGTTTAGCCTATTATCCACTACGCCAAGTTTGAAAATCGGGATCTAGAGAACACAGAAAGTCCGTCCCGAGATCTAAATGGCGTGTTTCTCGATCACTTTAGGATAAACTATGTTCCACTCCCGTAACCCAGGTCCGTGGCGCTACAGGACGAACGGAGGAGCGAGTGTCATTGAACTGTATGGTCAGAGCAATCTGAATTTAGACAACTCTCGACATTCATACGCGTCAGCTAGACTGTTAATAAAAGTTAGCATGATTATAAAGATGCACAAGTACGGTTCTTCAAATTCTCTCATCACACCATTATGAAGGATTATCAGCATACCAGATCTTCATTACTAAATATACATACCTCTAGTACGGCAATATGTACTTTAAATTGGTGTGCGCTCCGGCCTATGCCTTGGGACACTAGCGGAGCGATAGAAGAAAGAAGTTAGAACAAGTACTTTATTTTTTCGCATCTATCGAATCAATATGCATAATCCATACGTATCGAAATTGAGGTGGCTATTGCTAAATCCCATGGGACCATATATGGAAGAGTGAAATTTGAAGTCGCAGGTCGTAAGAGGAACCGGTAGTTGGTGACGAACCTGGGTGAGGCCTTGAAGAGCACACGTACACAAGCTAATGTGGCTGTCCAGCAACGTTACAGCTAAATTAAACACGTACATACATGTAAGTACATGTAGCCATAGCACAAGGCGACACCGCTTCGAAGAGCTACACTCGCATCACCCGACGACGACGTACTTCCGTGCAAGCGCGTAGAAACTGCGCATCCGCCTTAAGGCCATATGAAAATACTCCAGAGCTGGGGACACCGAAGCTTAAGACTCTAAATACATGCGCTTACATTAACTATTTGTGATTGAGCATGTGATCTTCAATTATCTCCCGTATCGAGTATCGAGTACATATCAATCGCGCACATGACATATGATCTGGGAACTGTAGTTTTATCTTCATAATTATACATCATCCAGCCTCTCATCCCAAGCTTAATATAATCGCCGTTTATCGACACCTACGAGATCTCGAGAACTACACTTGTTTGCAGTAGTTCTATAGACTTGTGATTGCTGACTGAAGATAACCAGGCTTTTGACTGCACGCAAGTACATGTATGTATGTATGTATGTATGGACGTTCACCCCGACCATATGAATGACCACTACGTATACACTACAACCTCAATCGCTACTCTACTGACCCCGTGTTCTTGCTGGATCCAATTGTTGCTGGCGTGCATACTTGCAAGTACTCTCTCAATCAAACGCAGCTTATGCGCGTATTGCTATCGTCAATTGTGTGCAGACAGAGCTGTATGTATACATGTAGGGTGCATGTAGCTCCAAAATATGCAGCTCGGCAGCGCAGTATCCGCCGTCGAGTGATAGTTGAAGACGCGCCAAGGCTGTGCGACCGCCAAGCCCATTGTTTCGAGCTCTCCTCGATCGTTTCCATCGCGACTCTCCCTCAACGCCCTCAACTCCCTCAACCATCATCACCAGACAACTGACCCGCCGCGTCAGACACCACTCTTGTCTGCCCTCTCCAAAACCACTATATCTCAAAATCCCCCCCCCCCCCCCCCTTCCCCCTTCACGATATATCACATCTCGGTATTCAGCAATGGCGGATCCAACACACACCGACCCCCTCTCGCTCCTCCGCCTCTCCATCAGCACCACCACACCCCCCACGCTCTCGCACACCCCCCAGCCCGCTGACCCCTCCTCCACAACTCCCATCAGCCTCTCCACCGCCACTTACCTCATCTTCGCGCACCCCACTACGCGCGCCTTCCCTCTGTCCACTCCCACCCGCTTCCACAAGTCTGACAGCACTCCCGTCGACCTCCGCAGCATCTACTTTGCGTGGCAGCACCGCGAGGACACCATCCCCGACTACATCTCGAAAGCGCAGGCCCTCGGTGATGGTGTTGTAACCAATCTTGCCTTCTTGGAGCGCCTCGAGCTTGTCACATGGCTCGAGGGCGGCCAGGAGGACAGCGAGTTCATCAAGGCGCTTCCTGCGCCCGCGGCAGTTGCGGCGGCGAACACAGCGCAGAGCGTCGGTGGGCAGGTGGTCCAGGGAAGAGCACAGGGCTATACGAGTGGGGGCAGTGGGGCGCTGGCTGGGAAGGTGAGAGCGACGGACCCAAGACTCTTGGAGATCTACAGCTATGAAAGAGTCGTCACGAATCGGAATACACTCCTCAGGGGGATTAAACCAACTGTGAGTCTAATTCTACCTGCGCCTGTCTGTTTCTTACTATGCTAATAGCTACGTAGGACTTCTCCCACGTCCGCAAACAGGCCGAAGACTTTATCACGCGCCTGCGCACGACCAAGCCACCAACCGCCTCTGTCCCTGCGACCAAGTCTCTCCCTCACCGTGGTCCGCCAACTGCCATCCCCGCCTCCCTAACCCCCAAGCAACCAAAGTCCCGCTCTCGCATCGACCCCATCATCTTGCTCTCCCCCTCGGCCTCCTCTCTCCTCACAATGGCTAACATCAAACCCTTCCTCGAGTCGGGCGTCTTCTCGCCGTCCACGACCGCCTCCGGGCCACACCCCCAGATCCACCACGTCTCACGCCTCCTTCCAAGCATCCATCCTACAACCCCGTTCCGCTTCATCATTGTCGACTCCCCGGAGAAGTTCAAGCCCGACTACTGGGATCGGGTGGTGGCGGTGTTCACCACTGGGCAGAGCTGGCAATTCCGCGGGTACAAGTGGTCCAACCCCGTAGACCTGTTCCGTGAGGTTCGGGGCTACTATGTTGGCTGGGAGGGCGAGAAGACGCCAGATGTGGTGAAGGGATGGGGTGCTGGAGTGCGTTGCTATAATGTGGAGAGGGCAAGGCGGTTTAGGGACCGAGAGGTGTGCGAGAAGATCTGGGAGGGTGTAGAAGTGTGGATGAGGGGTAAAGGGTGGGGACAAAACGGCAGGTAGATAGGCCATTATAGGGTGAAAACGTGTAGGTGTATGATAGTAATAGGCACCCTCATTCTTGACGCCCTGACCTTCTTGGGAGCGGATGAGGTGAGCGCGGTATTTTCTTAATACCCTTTTTTTTTTCCTTCTCTTCTCAGTTCCCTGGTTTCTACTGATATGAGCCTCTTGTTCTTCTTTTTTTCTGCTGCCATTTTGTTCCGTGATGTTTATGCCTACTGCTCTGTCTTTTGTGTGGTGTAACGATGGGTTTTCTTTCCTCTTTTTCTTTTCCTTTCTCTTTCTTTATGTAATGTAGCAATCTAGAGAAAAATTTAACATGGGAAACTTGATTCAGACTTTGTAGTTGGACATGATTTGGGGATACTTTCATCTTGTTAGGACAAGCATCGACCCTTGGCAGGTGACAGGGTTGATATGGTGGGGGATTGCGAGTGATTACGGGTGACATGAATTCCTTTACAAAACCCTGCTTGTCTCCTTGATCCATTCCTTGCGCAATTGCGGGTGTATCAGACAGAACTTTACTAACAAAAAGTCCTGACCCCGGGGCTTCCAGTTTAATAGTTACGTCTGTACGTAACCCGTTACCGGTTCCCAGCTAGCTCAGTTGAGGATTCGTCTGATCAGAGCTGATCAATGAAATATTGAAGTGTAGACGTGACACACGACTTCCATTGGTATCGTTGGCCGGCCGGGTCACACTTGCGGCTGAGCACCTTGTGGGAAACAACAAATCAAGCGTCATGTGTAAACGAGAACATCTCGTGTACGTGTAAAACCTTAGAGCTTTGTCTGAACTGACACAAATACCTCCATCCTCATATCATCCCCACCAGGAATTACGACCGCTACCGCAATGGCAGTGCCGCTTAAGCTTCTCTCTCTCCCCTCGGAGATACTTGTTCTCATCTTCGACTTCATACCGCATCCCTGCTTCTCCGAGACCAACCCATCCATCCTCTACGTCTCCAAAGCCTGGTACACCTACGCCCACGCAGCCTGGCTGCAACACCTCCGCCTCACGTCCAACAGCCTCCCCCGCTTCCCGCCCGACGATGTAGCCATTTCCGACTTCATCCAGGACCACACCACATCATTGAAGCTCAAGCTCTACGGTGTGATCGACTACACCACACCGATCAAGGCGCGACTAGAAGAATTTGCCTCGGCAGTGGGGAGGATGAGGAAGCTGAGGAACTTTGCGTTCATGGCATGTTACTGCTCTGCGCCGTGGGAGCACTTGCCCGGCGCTGGTAGAATCGAGGATGAAGACCGCGAAGACCAGTTTCCGTTGAACTATCTATGGGTCGAGTCGATCTATACGTTGATGTTGGACCTGCCCAAGACTGTGACGACATTGAAGTTGGATACGATAGGATCGGCTCTAATGACTGGGCATGAGGGCCAAAGAATTGGTATCAAGCCGAAGCGGGGGCAGCATATTTGCGGGATGTTCAGGCACATGACAGCTCTTAGATTCTTGAAAGTTAGGATGGACTTGGTGTGTGGAGACGTCTTTGAAGGGCCGCATCTGAGGAGGATAATCGTCAATTTGAGGAGAAAAGACAAAGATGGCAACAAGATGTTGAGGATGTGCAGAGAATGTGAGGAGGCGGAGGAGCTGGCCCTGGAATCTGAGGAAGTGTTCTATGAACGTCTATATAATGCGGGGAAAGAAGCAGTGCTAGCCGTGGAAGCGGGGACCAAGGAATGTTTCATCTTGGGGGAGCGGATTGAAGGAGATCTATATGAGATAAACTGTGGAACGGCGCTTATGAAGATCTACGCTAATAAACCTGGGAGGGCATGGTGCATAAAAAGCGGCAAGTATAAGAGGGCATCGTGGAGAGATTTGAACCCCTAAAATTCCTATCTACCCAGCTAATTTTAGGTAACGAAAAATGTTTTCCTTTTCTTCCCTCCCTATAAAAATTGAAACACATACACTCTCTCAAGATAAAATCACTCTAGTTAACAATGTGTTATACTAGATCGCCGGTTTTGCTACTTTTATGCGGGGATCGACTCAAGCTTTCATCTTGGACGCGGCTTCTTTCCACTCGAACTAGGCTTTCATCCAGTCAAATTTCATGTCCATTCTAATACTGGTTTTTTCGGGCGTATTTCAACGCTGACTAAACGAGAGACTACTTAGTTTAGTTACATATGTGCAAATTAATTCTTCACCAAACGTTCTTACCATCTCTGCTTTCCCCATATGTAGGTAACGGCGTTTCTATTCTAAGCCACTTATGGAATAACGTGTAGTTCACCTCAGCAGTAATAAAAGATCAGTACAAGCGTACTCAAATATCCTGCAATCTTACTGCGATCAGTCTGACTTGGTTTCAATGATTGAAAAAGGCAGTGTTCTTTTCGGAGCTAGAATTACATTTGACTGCATTTACTAAGATTAACAGAACGAACACCTCACTATTACTTGAATCCTCCTGGAAATATCAATGTTGTAAAGATAACAGTACACCAGCTCAATTCCAAGAATAAAAATTGACAGTGGGAGATCACAGGTGAGCTATATCAGTAAATACTTGGTACGTACGTAGTTGGACATGACAGTACAACAGTTGGGGCCAGAGCAAATGCATCGCGTGACTTTAACGGACTCAAAACTGATGAACCTGGGTCAACTACATATCATGTCACGGGTGTGGAGATGCCGTATCTCGCTTTTCCCTGCACTGCAGCAATTAATGAAGTAATCAATCAATCCCTGTACCGCAACAAAGCTACATATCACCGAGTGATATTCCATGCACCCCATCCACCCCACCAAAAATTGAATCGCCTCCTTTGTGCGCCCATTAATATGGCGACTACCCCCAACTATCCGCCAGCTTTTTCTAACCTTGGTAACCTTTAATACAACGCATGCAATCCGCCGTTCGAGGTTACCACCCTTGTCAATGATACTAGTACTAAAATGCCGGTAGCGCCGCCAAGAAAGCATGGGCAAAAATTTGCGTCCACAACCATGATACCCAATGGGGATGTGGTTTAGTGGTATAATACCTCTTTAGCATTGAGTACTCTCATCTGAGTAGTATCTTGAGTAGAGGTGGTCCGGGGTTCGATTCCCCGCGTCTCCATTTTAGTTTTTGCTATCCTCTTCGCCGAGCAGGCTTGACTCCTTCCTGTCTGCTTGGCCAAGATGAAACTATAAAAAGGTCAAATCAGCCTTTTATATCTTCAACTCATTCACACATTCGAAGCACACAATCCGGACCGAGAACAAAAGTTCACCTGCCCATGTTTGTTGGCCGACCCGGGCAGCAAAAGTGGTCTCAGCACCTACACCCCGAGAGGGTAGGAGACTAAAAAAACCAATGATGGACGTACTGGGAATCGAACCCAGGACCATCTCAAGTCACGATGATGCGAATGAGATATTATACCACTAAACCATGCGCCCATTGGTGCTTATCTTGAAGAATTTGACAATAATAATGAATTTGAGTATCAAAATACTCAGACCACCTCACTTCCCGTCCCCACAAAACACTAGGATTTCAACCCCAGGCCATTCACTACTTCCTCGCTGATTGATCCTGTTCTCCGTGACCACTGGTGCTGTTACTGGGGGTTTGCGGAGTGGTCCCTGAACCCGTCGAGACCGCCGGGGTCCGGGCCGCCCGCTACAAGTTTAGCGCCGGAACGAGTTTTTTATAAGCCGCACATAAATTATAAACCTTACCTCATCAAATCACACCATAGGATTTTAAGGAGTTTATTCGCCTATGAATCCTCAAGGACCGATACACCGAAGAGGTCCTTATAAAACTATAGGTTTGGTAAGGTCTAGGTATACTTATTTATTTAACCCCATTCCGGCACGCGGTGAAGCGCATTTATGACCGTAGATTTATCCCTTGGACGGATAAAACACTCAAATTCACAGCTACCCTCTTTCAGCTAATACTAGCCCTATCTAGTAACTCGTTCTGATTTTCGATCGGCTGTATTACTATTACCGCACGAACGTTATAGTCTTTTCTGGGACAATGGCGAAACTGGGTTAATGATGAATGGCAAACTTTCGGCCAACCATAGAGCTGATGGTCAGCCAAGGCAAATGGGTCGGTGCGCTTTTGTTAGCTTTTGTTGGTTTTGATTGGCCAATTCGGCATCGAACAATGTTCGCTATTGTCCCAGAAAAGACGGTACCTGACCAAGTGCGTGCACGGTCCAGGCTGCGAATTTGAGAGTTTCATCCGTCCAAGGGAAAGAGAATAAAGTGCGTAGTAATCAAATATCGAGTATGTAGAATAAATCAGAGCGGACAATAACCCTAACCCTACCCCAGGAAGTGAGCAAATGGTTTAGGCAACAATACAACATGCGCACGCTCTCACCAAAAGTTTGCTCACACTATTTTGGGATCTGCTCGTTGAAAATCTATTATTTTGTCTTTCTGAAAATTAGAACTTAGCGCTCTTCTCTTCCTCAGTCATTTATTTCGTCGACGTTGGTGGCACTTTCATTGGATCACCCGCCGTATGTGTGTCTGGTTACCGCTATCGCAATAATTATATTTGGACAAGTTTGGGTCTAGGAGGGTTTAGAGTACTGTTCAAGTCATATAAGTTCCAAGATAGTACAAAACGATTCTTGATAACCAAAATAGCCCAAAGAACCCCTCGCCTCACAAACACAAAAGCCAGGGTTCCTTTTTCCGCCACAGGAACACTAACTTAAAGCGTATCTATATTGTTGAAACATTATACTCTTTTTGGGAACCCAATCGCTCAGGCGTGCATACGTGAGTCCAATCTCCCACCTTCTGTTCTTTATAAAAACCATAGCTCCTTCGTGCATCTAAACTCCTCTATTCGCTGACCGAGAAATACATGGATTAATTATCCATACGGTGAAAGACGCAGTACTCGTTTTTGATATAAACGGATCTGATTAATTAGGGTCTGGTTCGGGTCTATCTGACTCCTGATGAGCCTATTAAAGATCACACGTATTTCTCCCAAGTGACGACATCGAGTGATAATGTATGACTGAGACTTTAGTTGACTGCAACAATGCATATATGGCCACCTTTGATATTACCAGTGGCTAGATATATATGCACCGTGTCTAAGTATATAACGGCGCCGACTTCCTATCTATATCGAGCATAATAGTAACAGGGACTACCCCCCGGCACGCAGCTGCACGGTGGAGCATATGATTATCTGAGTTAAAGTGCAGTCTGTCTTGCACGGAACTAAAGGAGTGGCTTTGCATGATCCCTTTATATAATGGTGTCGGGAATGGTCCGGTATTCCTACACTTCTTTCACTATGTCTCGGACGCTTAGCTGAGTGCCTCTATTGCTCGTCGGATGCGAGGATGTGAACAGGGACATCTCAGGCAAGGCGCATGCATGTGGTCTCCTGCATGTAGTCTCTAGAGTCAGGAGTTCCCAGGCTTAGTCCATACCGAAGCGTGGTCCATACATCTCTGTATGTACCTCTGTTGGTTTCTTTTATATGGTACGTGAATGGCCAGTGTTATACTCTCTACGCTAAGGGATTCGCATTCACTGATAGCTCCGGCTGTTTGCGAGGCTAATCTAGCTGCAGTGGCAAAAAAAAGGCAGCACCTATAGAACGTAAATACCTAGAGTCAAGCCTCGTACGCTTCGCTTTGAGGCCGCAGTCTGCCAGGCCTTCCTGGTATGCCTGGCGTGGATGACTTAATGCAATTTAGCGGGTGGCCCGGTCTCAGGGAAGAGAGCACTTCCGGCTTCTCAAGGGCTATAGCCCCTATGGCACACACTTTGGTGATGCTCTCAGTACCATCGAGGACCGACAGAATGTGCTCCTGGGGAGAGTTTTCCATGTACCCGGCGCCCAAATGGGACATGCGGACTGATGATGGAGTGTGGCTAGGTATGAGTGCTGGCCTTGAGCCAGTTGGGGTATTCCACATCCTGCTGAACGAAGCGACTAGTAGGCATAAGGGTGAAACCCTGTACTTGTACTGTAGATTGTAGTGCGCCGCCATAGCTTACAGGCTGCATGCGAGTATGAATTAAATAAAAAAAAAAAAAAGACCGATAGAAAGTAGCATGGCAGTACCAGTTTTTGGCGAGAATGATGATGCATCAAAGCCTAGTCGACGTGCCTTGAACAATGGTCGCAATGGCATGGGAAAAACCACCTTTTCGGCCAATAATACCAATATACACTCTCCAAGTCCAGTTAGTTGGAGTAGTATACGAGAGTGTTTAAATGTTGCTGGTCACAAGTCTGTCTCGTGCCCAGCCAAGAGCCGCCAAGAGCCACCAAGAATCACGTGGGGTATTCTTGGCGAAGACACGCGAGTAGCGCATCGTGCCAAGATACCAAGACGAATATGGATGGGTCAGGATCTTGGCGAATACCTAACGCCATCGCCTCAACCTCATCGCCTACGCAATTTCCTTCCACCAACACCACACCACACCACCAACACCCCCACCAACACCAATAATATCCATCATCCATCTCCGCCCCCCCCCCCGCGACAGTTCTCTCTCCCCCGCGATAGTCCCCTCACTAAGGCTAACAAAGCAGTCTCGGGGCTATTATGCACTCTGTTAGTATCTAATCTTCCGCCCCAGTATCATGACGCGCACAGGAGCTTCGTCGGATGGATTCCCTGCCGACCGTTACTTGAAAACCAGAACGCCCGAGTCCTGGGATATGATCGATTTCCTAAAGAGCTTCAACCCAGAGGTGGACACTGATGTTCGGCTGGATCAGCGGAGACACTCGTGGAAGGAAGCCTTGCTACGGGTGGTCGCTGCTGCAGATGAGTCTTCTAATGATAGGAAAGAGAAAGCCCAGCACCTACTGGGAATCTACGAGGCGAGTGCATCCTATTTGTACCTTGCAGGCCACACTCGACATCACGGCGGTCGGCTTCGCTATTCTACCTGCATTATGGGCATCATGTGACCTTCGTGGTCGACATGTTGTTAAGGGTTCGTCCCAGCCTAGCAGGGCTTCTAGAATAGCGTCGATAGCCTTCGTAAGACCGCTGCCGAGAGTGTTACCTGTACCAGTGTCCGGGGCATCATATGGCCTTCGTGGTCTATATGGTGTTAAGGGTTCGTCCCAGCCCGGCACTGGTCCTATCAGGTTGCGCTCGCTTAGGGACTAACTGCATTTTTTCATCTTTAGCATGAGGACAAGAGACGATTTAGGGACTGGCGCGCCAACCTTAACCGTCGGGCCCAACCTGCATCAATTAGTATCACCCATTCCAAGAAGTTCTCAGTGAATGTTAATACACCCGGCGAAAGCAGCAACAGAGCGCTTCTAGGCGAGAGTGCTGGAAGTGTAAGGGGTGGAGTAAAGCCGAGGAAGAGCGGAAACTTGAAGGGAAAGACTTCCAAGCGTGCAAATACCGGCGAAGCTGAAAGTAAAGAGTCTACTCGTGCGAAGCGGACTAAAGTCAACCGGGGGTACTTCTCATTTTCTCAAATTCCACTGTCCTTTCTCTTACATAAGATTTTTTCAGTGACGACTTGACGCTTAAACGTCTCAGCCTTTTCAAGCAGAGACTTGCCGACATTGACAATGCGTCCAGATGGTACTTTGATGATGCTAGTGTTGCTGTGGAGGACAGGCTTGCTGAATACGTCTATAATAATAATGAGAGCGAGACACCAGCGCATTCATTTGTTCTTGATACGGGCGATCCTGATGTTGAGAAATTATTCACCCCTGAGGAATGGATCAAGATTAAGAAGCAACTTCCACAGCCCCCAGATCCTGATACGGTTTTGAAAGATTATCTAGACTTCTTTCGGAACGTGAGTTCTCAATATATACTTAATTCCAATCACATTCACTTATTCTCGCACAATCACTTCGTAGAAAAAAACCGTAGATGAAATATACGACATTCTAGAACGTGGAGCCTACTTTACCGTCGCCGATGAGGGCTTAGATGGCTCCGCAAAGCGCCAGAAGTACATGAGCTTACAATGGGCACATCTCGTTTTACAATGGGTGTTTGTTCCCCGTATTCACTTCCTACGTGCCTCCTCCAGCTATTATACCTAACGCTTCTGAAGGATAAACGACTACAAGAGCGGCCACATCTCGCTCACTGACAATCGAGAAAAGTGGTACCAGGGCCACGTCTGGACTGCTCTTTTTGACCGAGCGCTAGAAACCATCCCCGATCTCCGGATCATCAGGTAACTTAATCTTTCAGCAGTCTTTTTATATTTATGCCTAAATTTTCCACAAAGCGGCGAGTGTCCGACCGATGCTGCAGCTATTAGAAAGAACCCCTCCAAAGCCTTGCCAGGAACCCGTAAGGCCCCCGGCCGTTTCCACGACGCTGTCATCAAATACACCCAGTTTGAACTAGGCGCGGTAGAAAACGGAAAGGAGTATACTACTCCAACCGCTACTAAGTGGACAGAGGATATAATGAAGTTGGTTAAAGTTAGCCGGGATATGATTGTTAGACTCTATTCCCGATTTGGAAAAGACACAAACAAGTTACCGGTACTCGGAATAGTAACGGGAGGTACTGTCTCCCAAGTTCTACCTTAACCGTACTGTTACTGATGGCGAGCGCAGCGTTACACTTCAAGACCTATTTCACGGTATATGGTGGCGGCACTGTGTGTATCTTGGGCGCAAACCCGCGCAAACTCGAACTCCCTACAAAGATCCAGCATTTCGGACCCTTTGCGGCAGCAATGATGCATGTGTGGGATGTTGTAGTTAGTGTTCTCCCATTACCCTATTTTAGGCCCAACGCTGACTAGACTTCCTTAGACTATCATGCGCGAGTGCACAGACACCCTGACACAGCTTCAGAATTGTTTGGATGAAGGTCCCCCGTTGGAGCTTATAGGATCCATTGAAACCGATCCTCCGACGCCGCCGGAGGACGATCAGAATGTTGACCTAGAGCCTGAGTAGTGGTGCGCGCTGGTTGGAGCTTTATAACCTATTTTCAAATTGTTCTTTTCCTCTCTTTTTTTTTCCGAAAGGCCACGAGTGAGAGAAAAGGCCTCGTGCTCCGCGGTACAATGTCCCTTTCGTCTATACCCAGCCTGCAGCCTTGTGTCGTCAGAAATCTGATATGTTAATATTTGTCTTGATGATTGTACTATAATAGTGTGTCTCTTGATTTTCAATCATCACCTTCACGTATGAGCTTCAATTATTAATCTATGCAATATATCATGCAAGCATGATCATTGGCATGTATATTGCACACGAGAACCAATTAATGAATTAAAAAAAAAAAAAAAAAAAACAAGCACACGAGAACCTGAAGCCTGGATCGAGATCAGCCAGGCAAGGGTTTGTTTCGTTTTTAGATTTAACTTGAGTGGAAAAGGACCTTTATATGTGCCATAACCGCGTTTAAGGGATGTACTCTACACCAAGGTATTTACAATAAGTTTGTAAAATATCAAATGTTGGTGCTGTAAACTACACAACCACACATTTCCATCTTTACCATTATTACTTTTTACTAGACGATAGCGTTGGGTCTAAAAAGGAAAAAAAGGATGTGATGATTTTGCTGTGACATAGATTACGTGACGTTGTTCAACTACATGTATGAATAAAAACTCTTCGTCACTAAAACCCACAAGCCTTCTGTGATAGATGATAATTTGACCTGGTTCCCAACAACACTAAGTCACGCTATCTGATCCGATAAACGGTGTATAAAGGTATTATCATTATGTCTGTCCCTCATCATCGAGGATGATGAGGGTTGCTAATATACAATGACTAAGAATACTTGTCTTTACGAGAAGGCCACAATTTTGTTCCCTGACACCTTCTGTGCCAAGTAGCGCAGCAGGCCCATTACACCTACCCCACCAACCCCCACCACACTAGCCTACTAACACAAACCCTCCACTCCCCAAGTCCCCTAAGTCCCCCGAACGCCCACAATGACCTCCCCCCTCCCCCAATTCAAGCAGGACTTCCTACAGACCATCCTCTCAGCCAAAATTCTGACCTTTGGCTCCTTCACGCTCAAATCCGGCCGCGTCTCACCCTACTTCTTCAACGCCGGCCTCTTCAACAATGCCTCTCTCCTCACCTCCCTTGCAACTGCCTACGCGCGCACAATAGACTCTCACCCAACACTCAGCACGTCGTTCGATCTCCTCTTTGGGCCTGCATACAAGGGTATTCCGCTCGCGACCATCACAGCGACGCAACTGTTCTCGCTCAACAACGAGAAGTATGGCAGCGCCGGGTACGCCTTCAACCGGAAGGAGAAGAAGGACCACGGCGAAGGCGGATCTATTGTTGGAATGGATATGCGCGGGAAGAGGGTTGTCATTGTGGATGATGTGATTACAGCGGGAACGGCGATCAGGGAGGCTGTGGAGATCATCAAGGCTGCCGGTGGAGAGTTGGTCGGGATTGTCGTGGCGCTCGATAGGCAGGAGAGGAAGGTTGTGAAGGAAGATGAGGTGGATACTGGGCTGAGCGCCATTCAGGAGGTCAAGAAAGAGCTGGGGGTTGAGGTTGTTGCCATTTTGGATCTCGCGGATTTAATTGCCGGGGTTGAGGGTGAAGAGAAGGTTAGAATGATGGATTATAGGAAGAAGTACGGTGCCGTTCAGGAGGTGTGAGTGCTGTATTATGAGTATGTCCTGTGGAGCCTTGTGGTTTTCAGTATTTGGAATGTTTGGCTTACTAGCTACAGTAGCGATTATTTTGGTTATTGGGGAATAGATAACCCATTGGACTCGAGTAAGAGACCTAAATGAAGTCTATTCTAACCCATTCCTTAAGCTGCCGAAACATGCCGAACTATTTTTATGGGGGTCAAAAGTGAGCTTTTTCCAAATTCTTATCATTCATTCGACCTGAGTCAATACCTCACCAACCACACATCTAAATTTACTGTGGCCTGTTGAGTCCCATAAAAGGGGCCAGAATTAACAGCTTAAGGGATAAATTGAACAGCATATCGCCACTGTTCTCCGTATTATATTAAGGTATAAATGTGAAATTGACTATCTTTATACCTCGAAACCCGGTGGAAACCAAATTATTGTTGAGCTTTTGCAAACTTCCACCCAGGTTCCATACGACCAGGAGGCAAATCATCTGGCGAACTCCCGACATTATTATAAGTAGCCTAATATACAAAATACTAGTAATAGGGATAAGATAAACCACAGCAGAAGCGTGGTTTAATAGATTTGTAGTATGGAACACCGGGAATAAAAAGCTATCTCTCACAGAAGGTACTTAGCTTTAGTAGAGATTACTACTGGTATACCTGTACATGTAGCTTCGGATTTATACATGTGTGTGTAGAAAAGTTGAACGGTGGCTATCTATGTAGCTACATGCTTTGCGGATTTTCTTTTTTAGTCTGTTCGGGAGATGTGTGAGTATATATTGCGAAAAACTGTCAACAGACGAAGCAACGGCCCGAACTACATATATGCAGTGAGGCAAGAGTTCCTGAAGCCAAAAGTCTGGACAAAATAGTTTAACCTAACCCTGAGCAACAGAATCACATGCGGCACATGACACGAATCACATACCCTCACTCGCTTAGGTCCCTTTTCCATCTCTCATCGGCTAGAGTAGCTACATGTACGTCATATTCATCTCTCTAATCAAACCGAGATTGTGTATTCAAGGAGCCAGAACAGGCTCTTCAACTCCTATTTCATCAGTGAATCATTTCAACTGCCGATCCTTCTCAGGTAATTAGAGTGGAGCGAGTTAACCTGTAAGGCTGACAATCAACTATCTCTACAATGTAATACATATGCTCCTAATCTACTTCATGTCGGCCAGGGAACCTAGAAGACTCTTTCGTTCCAACGTTTGTACCTACATGCAATTGTCCTATCCGACCCATAATTTCGATACAAACCGCGTTTGCTTATGGTATAGTATGCAGTAGTAGCCTAGTTTAAAAGGACCAGGACTTCACTTGCGGACTCGTATGCATGCAAAGAAAGGTAGCAGACTTGGCGTGTTTTGCAGGTTTGTTTGAGTCGAAGCGTTAGACTATCTATTCGAAATCGTAGAAGCACAATAGGCACCTGGTTCATTCTGATGGCGGGGGAGAGGAACAAATCATCTGCGAGTTTTGCATTGAATCTTGAAAACGTCAGGGGCATGATAAATTGTGCCTCACAGCTGCATTAACCGGCACTGTTATGAAAAGCCCAGCGGCAATTAGATAGCCCCTGCTTAACCAGCCCTCGAGTGCTCATGACCACGAGCCTGAGCCTTCCCTTGCTAGCTGAGAGAAAATTTATACAGAGGCCGAGAATCTCGCCTAACACCTTATTGCATGTATCTACTCTAGCATTCTAGTTACTCTTTGAAATGTACTGTGGACGATTCAAAAATTCGAAGGGCTGAGGCGCATGAGAGACGTTTAAGGTTCCCCCCCTGCAAGTCGTCCAGGTTGAATCAAGCATTTCAACCAAGCATTCATGTGGAGCTGGACTGAAGTCTATCATATATAACTACTGCAGACTTACATCCATTCACCAGACCATCTCAGCACCTGTTGCGCCACTCCACAATCTAAAGGTCTTCAGTCCGCTCGAAGTACCTACATACTTACGCTTTCGAAAAAGATTTTGGCCTAGCATTTCTAAACAGATTTTCAGCCAAAGACATGGAAGATAAGGATCAGCAAAGTTTTCCGCTTATGCCACTAGCTGCCCAGAAGATACGCAGAAAAGAAGTGCCCGGAAGGTCATTAAAAACGGGGGAGGATGGCTTTAGCCACAGATTTCAGAGGTAGGATACGGTCTGATTAAGGAAATTCTATGGTACTTATGGAGTATAGTACTACGAGTAGCGTTAGTCGGAGACCCTCGAAATATGAATACAATTCTCTGCAGAGTCAGGAACCTCTAGAAGACGACCCTGAGCAACAACCCACCCATTCACAGTCTAAGTTTAAAAGATCCCGCTTCCACCGACTATTGGTTGATCGCCTTGGTCTGTTCTCTGGAGGATGGCGAACCGGTTGTACCTATTGCGCGATTACCTCAACAATGGTGTTTCTTGCCAACTCCCTCCTCATAATTTGGGCGTCCAAAAAACCTAGTGCGGAGCCTGGGATCGGAATTTTGTACGAAGGAAGCTGCGATACGACAAAGAACCTGAGCTTATTAGCTCATTTAATAATCAATGTTCTGTCAACACTTATGCTCAGCGCAAGCAATTATACCATGCAATGCTTAAGTGCTCCGACTCGGGCGGAGGTTGATAGAGCCCATGCAAAAAAGAAATGGCTGGATATAGGTGTCCCGAGTGTGAGAAACTTGGGGAAAATCAGCTTCACCAGGATTTGTCTGTGGTCGCTTCTGGCAATGAGTTCTGTACCGTTGCATTTCATGTGAGTCCAGTCTACGCGGATATAATCGATAAAGGCAAAGGCTGAATCTGATATTCGGGTCGTAGGTACAATTCGGCTATATTTTCCACAACTTCCACCTATGAATACCATCAGAGGATAATGTCAGAAGGGAGATTGACTCCCGTTTATACTTCCTTTCCGTACGAAAGACTTAGTAATAGGGATTGCATCCGAGAATACGGGAAGCAGTTTATAGATAATCGACGAGATCTTATACTTGTAGTCCCTGGGGATGGAGAGGAGCCCCGATATTACAGTCATGGCATAGATAGTAATTCCAGGCAACCATTCGCTTGGGTTTGCTACTCTTTCAACCGAGACCTCTATGGTGACTCTTCGTATGAGTACACTGATCCTCCCCCCTGCGATGTTAATAACTACATCAATCAAGGCAATTCATGCCCCTGCGATGTTAATAAATACATCAATCAAGCCGATTCATGGAAAGTGAACGGTTCCACAGTCCAGTACTGTCTCAGCGAGCGGATGGATGAGAGATGCAGTCTACAGTTTAGCATGCACATTATGGTTGCAGTAA